GCATTATAAAGATATAATAAGATAAGATAATAAGATTAAGTAATGCCCACGGGCATTAGTGGCCATTGGTGTACAAGATTTTCCTCAGCGGTTTCCCCCTCGTTTCTACCAATGCAGATTAACCTTGCCCTCGGTTTAACCTACTTTTTATCTTTTTCTAGTCCCAGAAGTTGGAAAAAGATAAAAACTTGTTGGTTAAACAAGGATTAAATTTAATCTGCGTTGGTAGAAATACGGGCATAAGGGAGAGAGAGATTTTTGATCGATTGATCTTCACTAGCTTTCTCAGCTATTTGTAATATACATTCATTCACATTCTTTATAATATACCTACTCTTTCAACATTCGTTCCCTAGCGGAAAAAAATAGTCTACAAATTTAACTACCAAGTAACGAATCGTTACTTGGCAATTACTTTCTTACGATGAAAATTAAAAATGTCAAACCTGCATTTGAATTGTAATGCGCCGATAAAGGCGTTTATGTGCAAATGCAAAACCTGACGCGGTCTGTGGTGGTTTAAAAAACACATAAAGTAACCAAAGTGTTAAATTAGTTAATAGCTATCGAGAAAATGTAACCGAGTTACGTTGCAGTTACAGATGGTAAGTAACGAAGTTAGCAAAACAGCAGCTGTAACTGTAACTTCGTTACTTCCCAACCCTGTATAAAACACTGCACTTCGTAAATAAGGGTTTATTCGGTCGTTTCTCCCTGTGTGAAAGCGTATAACTGCATTGTATCTCGTATCTCGTAGGCTTATCTTGGTTTATCTTGCGTTTGATTTACTGTGGGCTTTTCGATTCCGCGCTCGAAAGTTCACCTCGCCCAAAGATCTCCCGCGGACGCGTTTCTCAAGAAAAATTTTCCCTCGTCCATTTCCGTGCCTAGAGTCACGTATAAAAATAACGATCTTTCAGCGGAATTGCAATAATACTCGTTGGTGTGAATGGACGCCGCGAACACACGCGAGAGACCTGATCGGCGAAGGACGCATCAGCTGCGCGGTGAAAACAACGCTGCATGCATATGCGTATGCAAGTCTGGCTTCCGTCCAACCGCTGGATTCGAATTGCAAAGGTCCGAAACGCACGCTGGATCACCGATATGTAAACTTCGGCGATAGTTAGAAACACAAATAGCCTTCCTTTATTTATGATAATCCGACCGACGTCACGTCACGCCACGTCACGTCGCGAACGCGTGCGCGCGAATCATTAAACTTGACAAGCTAATAAAGCGCCGGTGAAACCGGGGCCCGTAAATTAGATACATGCGCCTCGAGCGCGGTGTAAAGATAAGAAGGAAATTATTAACCGGTGAAAGGGCAATAGTACAACTTTCATTAATTAATTCGCCACGTGTGTGCCCGCAAGTGACAAATTAATTTCGCGCGCCGGTGCCCGCGAAGTCGGTAATGATTATTAACGCAGGTGCGAGTAAAGGTATACCTGGGGAATACTCCGGAGGTCGATACGCGCGATTGCGCAACACGAACGGTTCGCCGACTGCTTAATCCTTTCCATGTAATCGCGGCGGACAATTTCTCGCGTACGCATGCATTTTCGCAAAACGAGGAAATCTCCGTCCCTCCATAAAGTCACGCGCGAGCAACAACTCCGATAAACAAAGCGGAAGAGGCGAAAACGTATCGTTATTATCGCAAATTTGCATAAGGCCTTTGCCGGCGATTCGCGCACATGAATTACGGCTCTCTCCTTTACATTATTTTTCTTTTTTTTACCATTGGTTCGCCATGCACAGTCGAGAATTGTCAGCCGGACTACCCTGCCGGAAATAATTCTACAAAATTCTACAAAACTATAAAACATAACTGCCAGAATCTAAGAAATTTTGCGTAAATTTAAAAAGTGTTATAAAAATCCACGTGAAAATGCTAGAATTGGAACACTTTTGTTAATTTTTGTAATATTTCACAAGCAAGCAGATTCTTTAAGATTTTGTTGGTTCTCAAATTTTTTAAACCAGTAAAGTTTTCTATTGATTTTTACAAAATTGTACATTTTCATAAAATACCACTCGCAATAATTGCTTCATTTGAGAACATTGTAATTTGTGGTATTATTTCGTAGATATTTTTACAAAAAAAAACTAAATGTTTCAACGAAGATATAAAAATGTCTATTTCGAGCCAATTTTTGCGGTTATTTATAGAAATTTTGTCCGCCAGGATATCCGCGACAAATAACGGGTCCCCTTGTTGTGGAGGATCGATGCGACGTATACGAATCCTCTGTGACACAGGTCCCCTTTCATTCTAAAGGTCATAACACGCGGCGATTATGTCATCCCGGCGTGCAGCCTCGCAACTGCGAGGAAACCCAACGATCTCGCTCTTCCTCCCTCTCGCTAGGATTTTTCTTTCGCGTTCCCTCACGCAGCCAGGTGCTGTCTCTTCGTCAGTCACCACGGACTTCTATATGCTAGTAGTCCACTAGTAGTATGTAGAAGTCTGTGACAGTAACACGCTATTGTACGGTGTTCGCGCATGCGAGAAAGTTTTACATACCACGTTCACATTCTGTACGTATTTTATATCATTCGCATTCGTCCGTAAAAAAATTAATAAATAAGCAACACACAAGAATCGGCCATTGCGAGTCTAAGGCAAGATGTGGGTAGCCTATACTTGTAATTTATTAAAATTCGGTATATATGAATTCACATTTTAATAAATTACAAATAGGCATACCTACATACATATATCTCGCCTTAGACTCGCGTTCGCCGATTCTTGTGTGTTGTTTAGTCTTATTGCGAGTCCTACTTCAACTCTGTTGTAAAAAAAAATCTTTTCTCGTTAGGAACTAGATCGGTTATCAGCAACTCGACCAGCGTCTTGTGCACATATTAATAGAGGAAAGTCCTCTATTATGAGATAGGTTTCTAATATGAGACAGCAGGTTTTCAACGCCCAAATTCAATTACAAATCTTTTCTCGCAACGATTACACGATCTAACAATGAATTTTACACTAAACAGATTTCGCTCCGAGGGCAATAAATTCATGGTGGAATCAACTGATGGTGCCTGTTAATTGAACAGAAACCCCGCTATCCCGTATTAGGCTCCTATCTCATAATAGAACTTTCCTCTAATTTTTTTCTATTTTGTCCGACCGCGTGACAGATTCATACAGGTTTTCTATTATTATCGTGACTTTTTCTATTATCATTGCTAGTTAATGTTATTACCAATTCTATTCTAGAAACAATTACTTTAATTATGATTAAACGTTTAAAGCGGACGGCGTATCGTAAATGTTTGTACAATTACGGAAGTGTAAACGTTTGTATATATGGTTAAAGTTTGCATGTTTTTATCGTCGAAGTTATTTAGACGATCGTCATGTCTCCGGGACACTCGTGCGACAACGTCCCTAAACTGAATGCGGAACATTTAGGTCGGATTTAATTTTAGTATCGTTAAATCCGAGCCAAATTTGCAACCGACGACGGCACGACGACTACAAACTTTTTGCGCGCAGGTGTCGAGGCTCCACTGGTCAATACTGGCCATTATCGGTCGACGAAATTTATTAGCGATGGGATTAAGACCTAACAAGTAGATTCGGATCTGGCGTAGTTTCAAGCTCTCTATGATTTCTTCGAAAAATAAAATACCGCCGAATCCGAACAAAATTGATTCGAGTCCTCTACGAGATAAAAACGAACAAAAGTGTTAGTTCCAGGTAGACTCAAGCCTGGGCAAAATATGTTTGAATCCTTTAAAAATATTTTAATGGAAATTTAATGTGCGAAACTTTATTGTGATAACATATTCGAATACTGTAATACTTGTGAAAAGATTCGCCTCTTTACGATAGAAACTACTTGTGAGTACATTTCGAATCCTGCAGTCGCTCACTTTAAACTTCGAAACTAACCGATTACCTACGTCGCAAGTACGATGAAGTATTAAGTCTCGCGAACATTAGTCGAATTGAAGAAAATATAATTTGACTGTTAGATTTTTAAACGCATATCGAACCCGGTCCCGTCCCTAGAAAGGATATCTTTTCATCTGCACTGTAAAAAAAAGTACGTAAAATTACATAATAAACGTAGCGATTGCACTAGTAAATTTATGTACTTTTACAAAAACTAATTAATGACAATTTTTCACAATTTTTTATTTTTTGTTGTGTAGATGTTTTAGACATACGTGTTGTGTGGCTTGTTTATACTTGACAAAAAATTACAAAAGTGTAAAATTTACACAAAAGCAAGCCGTTTACTTATTATATAAGGTAATAATTTTACCTACAAGGTGTAAATTTACTGACGTATAAAGATACACCTTTAACAGGTGGTCCCAGTCACCCGCTATAATAATTGTAATTTTACATGTAACTTTTTTTAGTGTGTGCAATCAGCGCGAAAAGTTTTCCGCACATTATACTTCATAGCGTTTAAAATCTGCCGCGTTATCTGCGGACGCACGAAAATAATTGCTATCGTCCCGCCGAACCGATAAATAGTAACGATCGCCAGTTTAATTATATCGTTAGTTCGTGCGACGCTCGCCCGTCGGAAGAAAAAAAAAGTTCACCGTGAACTTGCGCGAACGATCTCGACGAATAGACGAACGCTGAAAAATCGTGCGCACCGCTCGAGAGCCGATTTACCGTCGTGCGCCTGTGCGACAGTACGTCACCGCGTTTTATTATTATCATTTATACATCTGCTGCTTAAAAAAAAGCTATAATAAATCGCGCTTTCATAATGGAGCTTTCTTTTCAATCGCCGCACGACTTACATTAACGTAACCTTGCGCTTTGAGGAACTCTTCCTTGCCTCGTTATAAATAAATTTGCGCGCGATAGTGGATATCGCAAATACAAAAAATGCTCGTAACTCCGTCGTTAACTTTCCGCGCGTCTCGTGCAACATTCAATCGTTGAGATAACGTACAATAGCGGCTAACAGCGCGCGCTCTTATTTTCCTCGCGCCATTAATAGCAATCGTTTTCTCCGTAGGAAAAATAGCGGCGCACAGGACCCAGAGAAGACGTCGCTGGTGGACTCGGCGCTGCTCCCGAAAATCCAGCCGTCCGCGCTGCTCAATGACGAGAGGACGAATCTGGCCGCGAACGGCGGCGCGGCGAACGGCGATCCTGAAAACGGTCGCGCGCCCAGGGGTAGCGCCGTCCGGCAAGTCCTGGCCGCCCTGGTTGCCCAGCTCGGCACCATCAACACGGGCATGGCGTTCGGATTCTCCGCCATCGCCCTGCCGCAGCTCCAGGAGCCAGACAGCATCATTCCCATCAAGCAGGGCTCGACGGAGGAATCGTGGATCGGTAGGTGGTCTACTCTGTTCCTCCGGGACAGCTTTTCTTTCTTTAAAATATTTTATTGTTGACTTTTCCTATTTTTATCTTAAAATCGTGGATAGGTGGCCGGGGAGGATCTCAAATTTAACTTGATGGTGGCTATATTTCCTTCCTTTTCGATCTTATTGTTTTAACTGTTCAGATATCATTATTTCAACCCTGACTTTTCCTATTTTCATCTTCAAATCGTGGATCGATAGGTAGGTTGTCGAGGATCTAAAATGTAACTTCATATACTTTCTTTCTTATTATTTTAACTGTTTGTATCTCATTATTTCAACCCTGACGTTTCCTATTTCATCTTAAAATCGGTAGGG